GAATGAATGACCTCACTAATAGAACTCCACACTGCTATTATTTTGAACATGCCCCTTTCAATTAGTGATTCAATGACACAGAATCAGCAGCATGCATGTCATGACTGTTGGGTCTGTTGGATTTCTATTACTCTACTACACCTGCTAGTAAATTATTTGCCATGTAGAAATATAATTTCTTCCAAAAACAGTGATTGATCCGGTTAGTGATGTCTGACTGTTGTTTTGCGCACAACTGTATGTAGGTGGGTGTAAATGGACACAAGTCCGTTTTACATCCGCTGCTCCATAGAAGATAATTGAGGGTCCAGTGACATCTGCCTAAAAAACTAACAGGGGGACTCAATCAGTCCACCTGTGTGAAAGCGGCCTAAAGCTTACCACACCATGGTACAATCTCCTTTAGTTCGATCAACAACATTATAGTGCAAGGGCCTCTCTTATGGATAGACTAGGTAGGCCTTCATTATGTTCTTTTGGTAGATCTAAAATTGATTGCATGATATTAGATTATGTGTATAGTGACCCTTAGGCTGGCCATACATTATACAATTTTCTTGAGATTTTTGCTTTAGATTTTCCAAAAACCATATAATATGAGGTCAAACCTAAACAACACTTTCAATTGTATCTAATTAGGCAGGACCTTGCACTACATAGTGGAAGGTAAATCTAAAGGAAATTGGGCAGAAAACTGTAAGAAAATTGTATAGTGTATGGCCAGCCTTAGACAACCCCTTTTGAGAGTTCACCATTGGGTGAGTGTCCTGGTTTGCAGGCACTTTGTGATGCCCACTCTCCCCGACAGATTACTTCCAGAGTCCAAGAATTTACAATAATTTAGTGTAGAGCTTGCATGGTTGTCTAACCCTCTGCATCCTGTCCCACCACATTTTACTGTTGATGCCTAGTGTCCTTCGTTGCTCGGACATGGACGGCTCCTATACTCCATTAACCTGTTGATGCCTAGCGTCCTTCATTGCTAGGACATGGACGGCTCTTATACTCCATATTCCTGTTTATGCCTAGCGTCCTTCGTTGCTCGGACATGGACGGTTCCTATACTCCATTAACCTGTTGATGCCTAGCGTTCTTCGTTGCTAGGACATGGACGGCTCCTATACTCCATATTCCTGTTGATGCCTAGCGTCCTTTATTGCTAGGACATGGACGGCTCCTATACTCCATATTCCTGTTGATGCCTAGCGTCCTTTATTGCTAGGACATGGACGGCTCCTATACTCCATATTCCTGTTGATGCCTAGCGTCCTTCGTTGCTCGGACATGGACGGCTCCTATACTCCATATTCCTGTTTATGCCTAGCGTCCTTCGTTACTAGGGCATGGACGGCTCCTATACTCCATATTCCTGTTTATGCCTAGCGTCCTTCGTTACTAGGGCATGGACGGCTCCTATACTCCATATTCCTGTTGATGCCTAGCGTCCTTCGTTAGTAGGGCATGGACGGCTCCTATACTCCATATTCCTGTTGATGCCTAGCGTCCTTCATTGCTAGGACATGGACGGCTCCTATACTCCATATTCCTGTTGATGCCTAGCGTCCTTCGTTGCTAGGACATGGACGGCTCCTATACTCCATATTCCTGTTGATGCCTAGCGTCCTTCGTTGCTAGGACATGGACGGCTCCTATACTCCATATTCCTGTTGATGCCTAGCGTCCTTCGTTGCTAGGACATGGACGGCTCCTATACTCCTCCATATTCCTGTTGATGCCTAGCGTCCTTCGTTGCTAGGACATGGACGGCTCCTATACTCCATATTCCTGTTGATGCCTAGCGTCCTTCGTTGCTAGGGCATGGACGGCTCCTATACTCCTGTTGATGCCTAGCGTCCTTCGTTGCTAGGACATGGACGGCTCCTATACTCCATATTCCTGTTGATGCCTAGCGTCCTTCGTTGCTAGGACATGGACGGCTTCTATACTCCATATTCCTGTTGATGCCTAGCGTCCTTCGTTGCTAGGACATGGACGGCTCCTATACTCCATATTCCTGTTGATGCCTAGCGTCCTTCATTGCTAGGACATGGACGGCTCCTATACTCCATATTCCTGTTTATGCCTAGCGTCCTTCGTTACTAGGGCATGGACGGCTCCTATACTCCATATTCCTGTTTATGCCTAGCGTCCTTCGTTACTAGGGCATGGACGGCTCCTATACTCCATATTCCTGTTGATGCCTAGCGTCCTTCGTTAGTAGGGCATGGACGGCTCCTATACTCCATATTCCTGTTGATGCCTAGCGTCCTTCATTGCTAGGACATGGACGGCTCCTATACTCCATATTCCTGTTGATGCCTAGCGTCCTTCGTTGCTAGGACATGGACGGCTCCTATACTCCATATTCCTGTTGATGCCTAGCGTCCTTCGTTGCTAGGACATGGACGGCTCCTATACTCCATATTCCTGTTGATGCCTAGCGTCCTTCGTTGCTAGGACATGGACGGCTCCTATACTCCTCCATATTCCTGTTGATGCCTAGCGTCCTTCGTTGCTAGGACATGGACGGCTCCTATACTCCATATTCCTGTTGATGCCTAGCGTCCTTCGTTGCTAGGGCATGGACGGCTCCTATACTCCTGTTGATGCCTAGCGTCCTTCGTTGCTAGGACATGGACGGCTCCTATACTCCATATTCCTGTTGATGCCTAGCGTCCTTCGTTGCTAGGACATGGACGGCTTCTATACTCCATATTCCTGTTGATGCCTAGCGTCCTTCGTTGCTAGGACATGGACGGCTCCTATACTCCATATTCCTGTTGATGCCTAGCGTCCTTCGTTGCTAGGACATGGACGGCTTCTATACTCCATATTCCTGTTGATGCCTAGCGTCCTTCGTTGCTAGGACATGGACGGCTCCTATACTCCATTTTCACTGTACTCATGTAAACGTTAGCGGGAATGTTTACATGTATACAGACTCAGTTCATTTTGCAGCATTGTGAAAGCAGATTCTCCTGTTTTAATTCATCTTTTTGCAGCTGTGTGCATTGGGAGCCCTAACTGATCTCTGCCTGTCAAGTCCAGGCTAGATCTAACAAAGCTAAAAATCGGCTCCACCCTCCAACTCCTATTGTGACTACCCTGTAGAAAGAAGATGCTTCTACTTATCTATTCTTAGGGTGCTCTGGTCTGGTCACGTGATTGGCTCAAAGCTGTTGGTTTCGGGGGAGAGGAGGGACAGCCAACGATGGATAGCCCAAACCCTGGTCCTTCACCACCTCACTCACCCGCTAGGCACTCTCCTACCCCCTAACTCTTTGATTGCCCCAGATGTTAACCCCTCCTGCTCAGTGTCATTAGTATAGTGTCGGTGCTTTTTATTAGCACTGACTACTGTATGTGTCACTGGAGATGTCAGTGTCAGTCAGAATGCCCGCCACAGTCCTGCTATAAGTTGCTGATTGCTGCCATTACTAGTATAATAAAAATAGAAAATTCCAGTGTATATACTCCCGATGGGTGGACATCACCCAGGCATTCCAGCCTTTTTCAGTGCTTTCTCCTCTCCCCTGAAGCTGGCTACTGAGGAGATCACGTGACCAGACCAGAGCACCCTAAGATAAGTGTCTTCCTTCTACAGGGTAGTTGGAATAAGAGTTGGGTTGGGAGCAAGTGCCACCTGCCCTAAAGAAGAAGTACTGCTAAAGGGCAGCACATCTGCGCAAAATATATATATATATATATATATATATATATATATATATATATAGTATATATATATATATATATATATATATATATATATATACATGATTTGCTTTTTTTCCGGGTAGAGGACTGCACTGCTATTGGCTGCTGGGGATGTCAATCACCAGGTCCCGGATGGCGATTTCCGGCCGGGACTCCGTGATTGTCGGCAGGACTGAGATGGGAGACAGTGCGTAAACACAGATCTCTCTTGTCAGCAAGGACATGCTGCTATGTATTTCTCTACACAGCTGAGAGATGCAAAGCAGCATGTCTCCATAGTAAAACAACAACACAGAAAATATGAAACACACATAACACCGTTAACCCTTTGCTCGCTCCAGATGTTAACCCCTTCCTGCTCAGTGTCATTAGTACAGTGTCGGTGCTTTTTATTAGCACTGACCACTGTATGTCACTGGATATGTCAGTGTCTGTTAGTCAGAATGCCCGCCACAGTCCTGCTATAAGTGGCTGATTGCTGCCATTACTAGTATACTAAAAATAGAAAATTCCAGTATATATACCGCCATTTGTAGACGCTATAACTTTCATGTAAACCAATTGATGTACACTTACTGGGATTTTTTTTTTTTTTTTAGCATAGATATGTAACCGAATACATTTTGGCCTAAATTCATGAAGACCTTTTCATATATATTTTTAATTTTTTTTTTTTTTTTTTTTTTTACTGGATATGTTTTGGAACAAAAAGTCAAAATATATATATATATATATATATATATATATATATATATATATATATATATATATATATATATATATATTTAAAAAATTTTTTTTTTTTCAAAATTGTTGGTCTTTTCTTGTTAATAGCGCAAAAAAATAAATGCAGAGGTGATCAAATACCACCGAAAGAAAGCTCTATTTGTGGGTGAAAAGAGGACCTAAATTTAATTTATGTACAGTGTTGCATGACTGTGCAATTGTCAGTTAAAGTAACGCAGGTCTGTATCACAAAAAATGGCCTGGTCAGGAAGAAGGTGAAATCCTTTGGAGTGCAAGTGGTTAAGCTAAGTTAGATCCAGACTTGAATTCCATTGGAAACGTTTTGTAATTGTCGTTCCATTTTGCCACAACTGGTAATCCATTTGCGAATTTTTCACTACTGGATTGACCAAGTGTTGTAACTGAGCACGTGGCTTAAATTGCCAGGGAGAGCACAAGAGTGAAATATCGGTTTTGGGTGGAATTAATTTTCAAGAAATGGATGAATGTGGTTGATTTTAGAGTCTCATGTTTACAACCTATGCATTGCTGTTTTTCAGATTTGATCCAGTGCACAAATGAGATGAATGTAAACATCCCGCAACTGGCAGACACTTTATTTGAACGAACGACCAACAGCAGCTGGGTGGTGGTCTTCAAATCTTTGATTACAACTCACCACCTCATGGTGTATGGCAATGAGGTAACACATTTCAAGAATGTTGTGATGCTGATATTGAGATTATATTTGCATTTCCCAGAATATCAGATACTTCCTACATTAAAAAAAAGACCTTTGGGATGTATTTATAAAAAGAAAAAAAAAATTGTAGAGCTGTTGGTGTGAAACATTACATTTGTCCTGTGCTGATAGGACAAAGTCAAATATTATTTGGGCATTTTCTCTCCAGATTGAATGTCTTTCATTCATAAAGAGTGAATCAGGAATTTATAATATTCTGACCATTAGACGGAACTGATAATTGTAGAAAATACTACTGTATTTTCTTGATTCCCTCTGAGGGGCGGACTGACAACTCATGGGGCCCCCGGGCAATAGGGGATCATGGGGCCCCTGTGTCCTTGCCCAAACTCAAAAAAGCCTATGAAAAAGGTACCAGGGGCATCTCATGGGGCCCCCTACAGACCCCGGTCCCTCAGGCAGTGCCCGAGTTTCCAAATGGTCAGTCCGCCCCTGTTCCCATGAATAGAGGGTCGGCAGCTCTGCTCTTCTCCTTAGCCGAACCTCATCTGTTACTCGGTCCAGCGGTGTCCTCATGTCTTCTCTCCCCGGCGCCGGCATCTTTAGTGTGGGCAACCCTGCTGTGACAGCTTATGGCTTTACAGCCAGGTGCCCACTGCACATGCATGAAAAGCTCTGCGCTTTGTGAATGGTCCGGCAGTCTTCCGGGACCGGTCACGTGTCCCAGAAGACAAAGAGGGAGGAAGTGGCAGCGGGTACCTGTCAAATACGGGTACCCTCTGCACCCCCCGCCTCCTCCCCAAAGGTCCGCAGTTTCTGGTCATCCCCTGTACTGTGTCCGCAGTCTCTGGTCATCTGTACTGTGTCCGCAGTCCTGGTCATCTGTACTGTGTCCGCAGTCTCTGGTCATCTGTACTGTGTCCGCAGTCTCTGGTCATCTGTACTATGTCCGCAGTCTCTGGTCATCCCCTGTACTGTGTCCGCAGTCTGGTCATCCCCTGTACCGTGTCCGCAGTCTCTGTCATCCCCTGTACGCGCGCCCGCAGTCTCTGGTCATCCCCTGTACTGCGCCCGCAGTCTCTGGTCATCCCCTGTACTGCGCCCGCAGTCTCGTCATCCCCTGTACTGCGCCCGCAGTCTCTGGTCATCCCCTGTACTGCGCCCGCAGTCTCTGGTCATCCCCTGTACTGCGCCCGCAGTCTCTGGTCGTCCCCTGTACTGCGCCCGCAGTCTCTGGTCATCCCCTGTACTGCGCCCGCAGTCTCTGGTCATCCCCTGTACTGCGCCCGCAGTCTCTGGTCATCCCCTGTACTGCGCCCGCAGTCTCTGGTCATCCCCTGTACTGCGCCCGCAGTCTCTGGTCATCCCCTGTACTGCGCCCGCAGTCTCTGGTCATCCCCTGTACTGCGCCCGCAGTCTCTGGTCATCCCCTGTACTGCGCCCGCAGTCTCTGGTCATCCCCTGTACTGCGCCCGCAGTCTCTGGTCATCCCCTGTACTGCGCCCGCAGTCTCTGGTCATCCCCTGTACTGCGCCCGCAGTCTCTGGTCATCCCCTGTACTGCGCCCGCAGTCTCTGGTCATCCCCTGTACTGCGCCCGCAGTCTCTGGTCATCCCCTGTACTGCGCCCGCAGTCTCTGGTCATCCCCTGTACTGCGCCCGCAGTCTCTGGTCATCCCCTGTACTGTGTCCGCAGTACAGGAGTACAGTACACCTACCTACCAGTGTGCCTTCCTCCACCACTGGCAGCTCGAGGCTTGCTAGGGGTGTACACTGCACTGCGTATGCACCACAGGTTGTGTGCACAAACTAAAATACAGTATATAAAAGGAGCAAGAGGAAGAAGCTACTTATTTCCTGACTTCAGTTCTGCTTTAATGATTGATTTATATATAGATAGATTTTTTTTTTTTTTTATACCAAATATGAATTAGTATTTTACATATCAACTTTTTTTTCATGCTTTCTTTATTAAGGAGGAGAGCATGGCATCAAGAAATAATACAGTGCATGTGTTTCTGTGGTCATAATGATACATATGATATTGTGCAAAGTGGTACAGTTAACCACTTGCCCTCCTGAGGATTTATCCCCCTCCCTGACCAGACCATTTTTTTGCGTTGCGGCGCTGCGTTTCTTTAACTGACATTTGTGCGGTCATGCAACACTGAAATTCACATCATTTTCCCCACAAATTGAGCTTTCTTTCTGTAGTATTTGATCGCCTGTGCGTCTTATTTTTTTGCGCTATAAAAAAAACCCAACAATTTTGAAAAAAATAAGTATTTTTGACTTTTTGCCATTAAACATGTCAAGTAAAAAAAAAAAAACTAAAAACAAACTTCGTCATAATTTTAGGCCAAAATGTATTTGGCAAGATGTCTTTGCTTAAAAAAATCCCAATACATGTAAATTGGTTTCTGTGAAAGGTATAGTGTCTACAAATGTCGATATAGATGCTGGGATTTTTTTTAAATTTATTTACTAGTAATGGCGATCAGCGACTTATAGCGGGACTGCAGCGGACATTCTGACACTGGGGGGAACTGACTTGGTGACACTGACATCCCCAGTGACACCAATACAGTGATCAGTGCTATGAAAAAGCACTGACACTTTACTACTGGCACTGGGCAGGAAGGGGTTAACATGAGGGGCGATCAAAGGGTTAACTGTGTGCAAGGAGTGTTTTTTTTTTTTAGAGGGCGGTGCGTGTGTGTTTCACTGTAATCACTCTGCTCTGGATGGCTGTGCACAGCCATCCAGAGCAGTGTGCCTGAGTTAATATAGAGGAGGACTGTTAGTAAACAAAACAGTCTTTCTCCCCGTCAGTGTTTGTCGGAAATCGCTGGGCGTCGGCAATTAATTACTAGCTGGGACCCGGTGATTGACAGCCGCTGCTGCAAATGGCGGCGCGGGTAGGGGGCTCACGCGCGCCCCCTTCCAGGAAATGCAAAAAACACATGTATATACTCATGATTTTGCGAACCCCTGCTGCCCTGTTGCAGTATTTCTGCTATAGGGCGGTGGGGATGCGGTTAAAGAAACATAACAGTGACAATATGAACAAAAGTATTGGGGATGTGGTGTTGGATGGACCGACCATAGTCCTAGTGTTAGCGGGAAGATCACGCAAGATCATCGGGGCGATTGAACAGTCTTGGTCTTGCATTACCTTTTTGGTAAAGAGGAGATTTGGGCAGTGATGAGTGCAGAGAACTAGGATTAGAGGTAGTAAGAGGGGGGTGTAAGGTGCATTGGGTATAGGGGAAAGATTACCATCATAAATGTTTGTCGAATGGTTTAAGGAAAATGCGAGGGGGTGATGAGGGTGGTCGGGGAGATGGTGCAGAATGAAGGGTGGGAGGAAGGAGGACCCACCAGGTGGAAGGAACAAAGATTGGAAAGGGGGGGGGGGATGGAGGGAGGAAGGTTCTGTGGATGATTAGGGTGAGGGAGGGCAGTGGAAAGGTACGGGTAGATAAAATCTCTAAACAAATGAGAGGGTAGGTTAGTGATGTAGTGAAACACTAGATTAATAGATGTGAGTCCTGTGTACGCTTTTCCCATGTTTTAACTACTTGCCAACCACAGAAAGCCAAATGATGGCTACACTGCGGCTGGCCAGTTCTGGGAGGGCGTCCTCCCAGAACATGCTCTCCTGCACGCCCCTGGCGATCTCCGTGATCGCTGTGTCCTACGGACACAGCTGATCACGTGATGTGGTAAAAGGCCAATCACAGCGGCCTTTTACCATGTGATCAGCCGTGTATAATGACACGCTGATCACCGGGAAATGCAATTGCCGGTTCTCAGCTGCACTTTCCTCACGCTGTCAGAGGAGCGTGAGGAAAGTACTGCCGACAACCGGCAATTGTCAGAGCAGGGATCGGCACTGATGATCAGTGCCCAGCAGTGCCACCCACCAGTTCTGCCCACCTGTGCCTAGCTGTGCCGCACCCACCTGTGCCACCCAGCAGTGCCGCACCCACCTGTGCCACCCAGCAGTGCCGCACCCACCTGTGCCACCCAGCAGTGCCGCACCCACCTGTGCCACCCAGCAGTGGCGCACCCACCTGTGCCACCCAGCAGTGCCGCCCATCAGTGCCGCCAGTCAGTGCCCAGCAGTGATGCCAGTCAGTGCCACCTCATTAGTGCTGCCTATCAGTGCCCATCAGTGCTGCCTCATCAACGCACATCAGTGAAGGAGAAAAATTACCTGTTTGAAAAATTTTATAATAGAAACAAAAACTTTTTTTTTTTTTTTTTTTTTTTTGCATTTTTTTTTGTTAATAGCGCAAAAAGTTAAACACCCAGCAGCGATTAAATACCACCAAAAGAAAACTCTATTTATGAGAAAAAAAATGATAAAGATTTCATATGGGTACACTCTTCCATGACCGCGCAATTGTCAATCAAAGTGCGACAGCGCTGAAAGCTGAAAATTGACCTGGTAAAGAAGGGGGTATAAGTGCCCTGTAGGCAAGGGGTTTAAATTACAAATGCCTGAGTACGCAGAATCAACATGCCGTAGAAAATGCGTCATTGTGCTTGTTCCTTTCTCAGTTTAGAAGTCTTTCATGTCCACACTTGGTTGTCATTAAGAAAAAGCTGCATACAATCCATTAAACAAACAAGAGGAAGTTGTCATGTTGTGTTCATTTTATTGTGGTGGTGAGAACTGGTGATTTTGTTTGTATGATGTACATAAATGGGTACAGTTTTGCCAAAGGGGGAATGCTGTCATAGGCAGAACAGTCTTAACAGTTGTTTGCTGCCTGATTTTGTATTTAAAGCGTTCAACTTTACAGCAGAAACATAAAAGTGGACTAACATTGTATCCTGCCCTTTTTAAATTTTTGTTGTGAACTAACCCTTTAATTTCAGATGAATAGCCATAGAGGCATGCAAGTGGTGTACATGAACTTTGTCACATTGGACAATCTTTTAGGCCAAGTATGCAAAAGCATCACCTGTCACTTGTTTTTCCTAGTCTTAGGA